TTTTAGCAAATACCCTTCGATAAAAAAGATCGTAGTCCCTCGATGACCTTCGATGTTGCCTTCGGTAAACGATCTAGTCCCTAAACGACATTGATAAAGCGTCACATAGGTTGCCTTCTATGACTATACAAACGTCCCACACCCGTCCCTTCACATTCAACGATGGGGCTTCTTACCAAATCAATGGTAATATAGAAACATCTAAAGGAGGAGGAAAAGAACATTTAAGACCTTTTGAGTATGTAGATTTGCTCCTAGTTGCTCGCTTGCTCACAACAAAAACATTTCATACACCAACAGTCTCATTTTGGAAACATTTTTCAAAAGACAACACTTTGTACGCGTTCTTATAGAAACGAGAACCTTTACAAAGAAAACACCTTTTTAAAAATAACTTTCAAAAACATATCTCACAAACACCTCTTTGAACTATTTTCGAAACAAACACTTTGTATGTGTTCTTATAGAAACGAGAATCATTACAAAGTTACATTTTCAAAATACTTTCAAAAACCACACCACAAGCACATTCAAACAAAAGCAAGTGATCTAGCGTGTAACTAAGAGCCCATGGAAAACCATGGATGAAAAGGGTGCTAACACCTTTCCTTTTCATAATCTACCCCCCGAACTCAAGAAAACATCTCTAAAGGTCTTTCCTGTGCTTTTTCACCTTTCCTATTTAGATAAAAGAAAAGTCGGTGGCGACTCTTGCTAAACCGCAACATTTTCGAACACAAACGCAAAACTCCAAGTCAGTTCTCCCACCGTATCACACTTCGGGTTTGTAATAGTTTTTAATTAGAGTTTACCGCAAATTATTTACTGTTTAATCTCTGGTTTTTGGTCATGTAACCCCCTCCCCGAAGCCTTGTAATAGCGTAGATTTACTTTTCCGCTTTTAATTTCCGCAACTATGAACTGTCTAGATGTATGGATAATAGGCTTGCATGCAAAAGACAAATAAAGTTAAAACAGTAGATCACCTTAATTGTGCAAAGATTAAATAACTAAAATCAAACACATGCACATGCTCACTCCTAGGGTTTACCTCACTTGGTTTCCTCGGAAATAATGGTTGTGTCCCTCGAACGTAGGGATATCTTAGCAAAGACCCTCAATTCTAAAGTCATCAAAAATATCATGGTCCATTAATGTCCCTCGAGTTGCCTACGAGAAATGATCTTGTCCCTCGATGTTGCCTACGAATATATGATGATAGTCCCTTCGAAATGCTAAGGTATCCTTACTTGTTGCCTTCAGAGACCATTTCGTCCCTTCGAACTTCCATTTAAAAATCCAACGACGGTGCTACCTATTCCTTAATAATATGATAGCGCTGTCTAAAGGAAAATGAACAGACTCTTTTTCGAGTAGGTAGAAAACTCTTAAGTACTTGCTCAAACAAACAAACTTTTTCACACCAACACTTTTCCAAACAAAGTTTTCAAAAACAACTCTGTAACACTCTTGAGGACAGAAACAAGGGTTAAAACGAAGTAAAACAAAACTTTTCAAAGCAAGCACACACAAGAAATTTTCAAAATGAGAAAGTACCTAAGAGCCCGTGGAAAACCACGGATAGAAAGAGTTCTAACACCTTCCCTTTCTATAATTTACCCCCGTACTCAGAAACATCTCGAAAAAGGTTTTTCTGTTCTTTTTTCCTTTTCCTGATTGGATAAAATAAAAGTCGGTGGTGACTCTTGCTTACCGCGACATTTGCAAACAAAAAACGCAAAACAGTATTAACAGTCGGTTCTGCCACCGTATCACAATATTAAAACCTAATTTATAATATGTTTGATCTCCTATTATCAAATTTCTATTATCGTGTCATCTACTATTTTATAGTTAATCATTTACTACTTTTTTAAGTGTTTTAGTAGCATATACCCGCAAAGTGGAGAAAGTTTAAATGATCTCCCATCTTTAAAGTCGATCAATGATTAAATTGACAATATAAATGTTGGATCCTTAAAGAAAAAACTTTGCCACCCTTAGAGATAATATGAATGTTGAATCCTCAAAGATAAATCTATTAGATGACGATAACTTATCTAGAGAGAGGTGAATAGATCCCCAAAGTAAAATTACCTTTTAAAATTTTGTTTTGAAAGCGAATGAAAAACTATGGCAAACAAAAGTTTTAGCCTAGATCAAATAAGTCATCTAAACCGAATCGATTATTGGAAATTCAGATATGCGTAATATACCGAATGGAATATAAGACAATGATAAGAACTTAATACAATAATTTCTCAATCAATTATTTTACTATGATCACAACATTAACCTATTTTCAATGAAATTATTGATAAAAAAGAAATCTAGCAAATTATCAAACACTTGGTGGCAATTGATTTTTCAGATTTTCTTTTTGACTTTGTTGATATGAAATACCACTTACAATCTAATTGATTGTAATGTAATCAACAAAGAAATTTCAAGTTCAACAATCAAATAATTTGTCCATACGTATCGGTTACACAATAAATAAATTTAACAATTTGTTATAGAAGGTAAATGAGAGAGAGAAGACACAAGTATTTGTTTAGGCAGTTCACCAATCGTCCTCGCTATGGCTACGTCTTTCCTCAATTCCAAATGTGTTAGGTTGATTGTATTGTGATTGACAATATTTTATTAAAACAAGTGAAATAGCAAGATGTTGGACAAGATGTCTTGACATGCTTGTATGACATCGTGGCGTGCCTTACTTTGCATTCTCGTAAGATTTGTTTCAGATTCTCAGAAGATTTGATGTACGTATACTGCGGATCAAGACGCGTGTATGAAAATTTTATTCTCTAAATATTTGTTTCAAGCGTGAGATATCTGAAGATTTATTTCTTAAGATTGGATGTCAAAACATTTAAGGAAACATTTGATTATGTTCTGAAGATTATGCAGAAGATTGTGCAACATTCTACTTTAGATTTGCTGATTGTTTAGCCTGAACACCATGCTATTCTAAGACTATTTAAAGGAAGACTCTAAACCTAAAGAGATGTCTGAGTTGCGCAAGTGATCGTATCAATTAAGGTTTAGTAAGTTCATTGTTATTTGTGAGCCACTCTCGTATCACTTAGATGCTTGAGCTAGACTGATCTTTAAGTTGTAATTGTGAATCTTTCATGAGCTTTTAAGCAAAAGTGGATTATGTTTATTGGATTGTGTCTCCTATGTTGTTTGTTATCGTTGTCATTATTGTTGTGTGATTGGGGGAAAGTGACAGATGTCTCATATCTAAGTAGGAGTGTTCGCGGGTTGGGTTGGGTCTAATTTGATTAAACCCAATATCTGACCCAATCAATAGTCTTTGATTTGGGTTAAGTGTTCAACTCGTACTTCCGAGACTAAACCCGAACCAAATCAATTCGCTCATCAATAGGTTGGGTTGGGTTGGGTTGACTTCGTGGGTCATCCACTGAATATAATTTTCAAATTCTAAATAAAATATCAATTTAATTAATAAATTTATTTTACAAAAAACATTAAAAAAAATTAGTATTTAATTTGAATAAATTTATCATTTAATACCTAAAAACTCTTTTGCGATTAATATGAAGTTAAAAAAAGTATACAAATGGTGTAAAGTAGAATTTAAAAGGAAATATATATCTCTCTTCGAATAAATAAATTTGATCTTTCAAATTTGATTTAGACTTAGACTTTTACAATTAATAAAAATTATAATTTAAAAAATATATGCATCGTAAGAATTATGTTAAATAGTTTATAAATAAAATAAAATAAAAATAGCGTGACATGTCAATGGGTTGTGTTTGTGAGTTCGTGAGTTTAAAACTTTAAACCCGTTACTCAAACCAAATACCAATAGATTTGAATGAGTTAGTTCGGGTTGAACCTGGACATGAATGAGTTGGATAAAAATAAGAGTTAGATTGGGTGAGTGAGTTTGCGGGTTGACCCGTACCTATAAACACTCTTATATCTAAGAGAATCTTAAATAAAAATACCGCGAATAGTGATTAAAAGGGAAAGTAAATACGTTTAAGATTCCATAATCGTGAAAAACATAAAGAATTAAAAATAAAATTAAGAATATCGAAGAAGATAAATGAAAAAAAAAATTGGACAATTATTAAAAATATTGATGAAAAATAAATGATTTGGAAGAAGAAACTATTACTTTAAACAAACAAAAATATTAGTGAGTTACGGTCATATGGCATATATCTTGCCATATTTTTAACCCTATTAAATTATATAGTCTAACGAAGATAACTAATTGCAAAATGAGATAAATGATATATTTGTTTTTAAAAAAAACATAATTTTATAAAAAAAGTTTCAAAATAGTTTTTCTTTATTTTAAATATTTTATCATTTTACAATAATTTTTTTAAGATATCAAAATTTATAATAATACTTAAATTTAAAAATATATTTAATAATTTTTCATAAAAATTATTTTAAGGTATATATTTTGAAAAATTAAATAATTTTGATTATGTTTTATTATACAGAATATCAAAATTAATCTTTTAATTTTTAAAAGATGAATTCTAAAAAACTTTTAATATTTTCAAAAAAAAAATTATAAAAATTATTTTCAAAAATATTAATAAAAAGTCTTTTTTTTTTTTTTTAAAAACGGTAAAACAAATGTGTCCAATAAATAAGTAAGAGTATTATGGATAAGAAAAATAAAATTTTAAAAGTAATAAAATTTGTAGTAGCTTACTTTACATGACATATCCTATCTACAATGCTTAAAATAAGTAGCTTTTGGCATTATGAAAGTTTGCTGCTAAATGAGGGAAGGACCTTGTGGTGGTTTCATAAACTTGTTGGGAAATGTTTGGTATAGAAGGCATGAAAAGTGCTTTCCCTCTAAAGACCCCTGAATCACTTATTTGTTTTTGAATTGCAGAATCTAAGTGGTACAAGGTTCATTTGATGTGATAATATATCATCACATGCTGCAGTAAACTACTAGTAATATTACAGAAAGACGCATCTCACCCGATCGACTAGAATCGAACCCAGCATCTAGTGCACTGTGCCATACAATCGCCTTTACAATCAACATTATAGCCCAGAACTTTTGGATTTCGAAGGAGAAGGTTCCTAAGAGATTTTCCTTCAATACTCCACTGCTCCTTCAGGATCTTGATATTAGCTTTCAAATCTTCCTCTAAATTACATCCAAGAACTTCTGGAAATTTTTTGAGCAACTTGGAAAGATCATCGTCGGAGAGATTTAAACTCCTTAGATATTCTAATGTCTCATTAACTGTCTCTGATTTGGGAATTTCCTTCTTATGATCTTCTCCCCAATAAGGAGAATGAACAAGACCAAATGCTTTTCCAAGTATCTTGTCCTTTTCTTCTTCGCTCAAGTTAAACGCGCAAAGAGCTTGCTTACATGCTTCCCACATACTTCGATCTTCATTGCTTGTGATCATATTGTCTATCTGTGCTGTAGAATGCAATATCCAATGGTTGGTGGACCGATTTGACTTTGAGCTCCATTTTACTTTGGCAAAAAATCTGCAAGAATATCTGATATTTGATAATTGAATACTTGAAGATGCAGCAGCAAAATCAGCCTGCACGATCACACACAATTGATGACCGTTATTATCTTCCTAAAGAACTACCCGAGATTTTTTCCAACTCTTTCCTTTGGATCTGTATGCATAGTGATATTAATGGTGTGTGCATGAGGCATAAATAAATAACATTTTCAAACTGATTTTATTTCTCTTTGAACAAAGTATTCTTTTGCGTTATTTCAAAACCTTAGATTATGAGTTCTTAGATCAAGAGTTAAATACTATTCATCCTCAATCAATTGTAATAGGTTACTAAATCCTACCAAGAATGAAATTTCACCAGAATTCAATAACCATCAATTCATTTTGTCCCATTACACCTTTTCCTGAACAAAATGAAGCATGGATACCCCCAACACGACACCCACACTGAAACGGCAACACCAGTAATAATTTGAAAAAGTGAATAAATTAAACATTATCGCGGATTGACATTTTTCCAGAGGTACGATGCTACAAAAATAATGATCTTGTGACAAGACCATAGAGATATATGTATATCTAAACATGACTTATTCGCTAATCACAAATCTACTTCCTAGCACAAATACACATATTGAACCACCATAATCCACTAGAAAATACTAAAAGTTAAGATGCAGTTACCTTGCAGCAGAAGAACTGTGCAGATGAATCAACAGTGAGAAGAGAGGAACTCAACTGTTTCCCAAACATCCCTGCACTAGCAAAATAACACATAAATATCTAATTGTAGAAAAACAACAGCACTAAATTAAATTCAGGGACAGACCAGAAATTGGAAATGAAAAAAAAAAAAAAAAGAAGAAATGCTAAATCTTTTTCCTACCTACACCATACTGATAAAATAAAAGCAAAGTCAATTTTCTAATGGAGGCACAAAATTCATGACACCCAACAACAAAAGAAAAATTCCCATGACTTGTTAGAAAAAATGGAACAAGAAAGTCAATGTTTTTGGGAATGAATCAGATTGAAAAGTCGAAGCTAACCAGAGCGGGGAGAAGGAGTGGAAGAGGCGAACTTGAGACACTCCATCTCATCTACGTGCGCTGTCTCAATACCATAATCAAATATCACCGTTTTGTGGTGTCCTAGATTCTCTACTTTTTTTTTTGGTGGTTGAGAATTTCAGATGATATTTTTGTTAATAGTGTAACTAGTCATAATTCTTCCTCATCAATGAATTATAATTAGGGCTATTTATTGGTTCGGGTAAATTTGAACCAAATCGGAATCTGAACTAAACTATAGTATTTGAATTGGATATTTTTTTAGTTCGGGTAAGAACCGAACGAAATCAATAAAATTCAATGACAATTGGTTCGGGTATCGGATTTTCAATTTTCTATCATCAAACTCAACCCGAACCAATCATAATTAATTATCATGAAAAAAAGTGAAATATCGTATGTGGACAAGTTATAATATTTTAATTTGTTATTAGAAAATTGTTAGTGTATCGTGCTAATTGAGCGTAGAGCTATGAAATACATTTATTATTATACTAACTCAAGTGACTAATTATAGATTCAAAAGACTTGATGTTATATATTTTTCTTGTTAGATATTTTAGAATCTATTAGGAAAAAATTATAAGTGTAATATTTATGAAACACTATTAATAATACTATATTTTTTATAGGTTTAAATAAATTTTTTAGTCCCCTAGTTTGGAGTTTCTAAAGAAGTAGTCCCCCTATTAAAAATCAGTGAATTTTGTCCCTTTATTTAACATGTCTTGGCATCTATTTGGTCCCTCGTCCATTTTAGATAATGTGTCATATATTTTAATGAGGTGGCATTATAATAATATATTCATATAACCATTACTGAATATTTTATTAATTAATGCAATTGTTTAATTAAAGTTATGTTATTAATTGAAAATAACAATATTTTAATTGAAATTAAAATTAATATAATTTTCAGGTTGACTATTAAAAAACCCTAATCCCCTTTCATTCACCCACTGCATCTCTAATTTTCGTTTGTCAATGTTCACTGTCTCCCTCACGAATCCTCCACCCTCACATATCACATCAGTTTGACTTCAGCCATGACAGCATATCTTCAAGTCGTTCGTGGTATGTCTGCAAGTGTGGTCTCGATGTTCCGTTGATAATAGCATGGACGAATGCGAACTCAGGTCGTTATTTTTATGGATGTGGCGTGTATAAGGTATGAATCATTTTGTTATTCTTCCCTTGTAATTGGTCTAGGTATTCATTCATCTTTGTCTTCGTTGGTCTTAATAGATACAACGATACAAAAAGTGCACACATTTTGCTTGGTTGGACGGGGAGATGAATCCTAGGGCAACAGAGTTAATATATGCACTATTAAAGAACTTGAATGAGGAGAAGGAGATGGTCAACGCCAACAAAGCAAAGGAGGACGAATTGAAGATGAAGGTTAAGATCATGAAGAAGTAATTGAAGATTAATTGAATATTATTTTTGTCATGTTGTTTACATTTGTTGGAACAATATTGATGAAATAAGGTATATTTCAGTAGGTTTTATTTTGTGTAATGGTTAGGTCTGTTGTTGTGTAAAGGTGTAATGATGTAATAGTTAGGTCTGTTTTTGTGTCATGGTGTATCCCCACAAAAATATCCTCATAGGATTATCCCCACAAAGTCATCTTTACAAACTTATTTTCAACAAAGATACATTCCTGGCGAGGCTGGATTAACCTAATCATACTCACCAGCAAGTCACCCTAACGGATAAAGGAATATGATCTTTTTCCCAGTAATGTCGCCAACCTAACGAAATTCCAGTCTCTATCAGAGATTATGGCATTGGTATAGTTTATGGAAATTCTCTTCCCGAGCTGAGTTTATTCCTCCAAGACTGTAAAAATCCCTACAGATTTCTTTACTCCAGTAGAGCTCATATCCTCAGCAAGATTATTTCCTCAGCAGAATATTTCTTCGCCCAGTTTAGGGTTCATTTCCCCAACATGGTTTATTCCCCTAAGCAAGGTTCAGTTTCCCCATTCTGAGTCTATTTCTCTAAATACCGGCAAGATTCCCATTTCCAGCAAAGAGCAGTCTGAACCATTATCCCCAGAGAGTTGCTACTGAGTCTGGAACCAGACCAAATATCTCTTAACCTTATCCTCCCCAGAAGAGTCGACATCCATATCAAAAACTCGATCAGACAGCACCTCGAAAGGTTATCCATCTCTTTTATCCCCAGTCAGGGTATATAAGAATTAAATTCCCTAGTAGAGCGACAAACGGTCGATGTTCCTGAACTCTTCTCTCCAAACAGAAGTTAATATTCCCCGGCGGAGTTTCCTCAAACAAGAAGCAAGCATCCCCAGTGGAAACATTCTAAACAAAGATTGAAGATTACACATATTCTTCATCCCCAACACCAGTCAGGGATCCTTTTTCCCCAGAGAGATGTTATACAAAGCTATTAAATATGCTTCAACGACATTTCACATTCATACATCATTTACAAACATCATGGGATATGCATACAAAATGCATACAACACACTCTCATTTATTTTGAGAACATGATTACGCAATGCATTTCATACATCATGACACTACATATAGCTAACTCTTTATCTTTTCAGGTAAAGACTACAAACAAACTAATATCATCAACAATTTTCAAACAGGTCACAAATTAATTCCTAAAACAAGACAGGGAAACTATATGTATGACCAGAAACAGATTAATTCCTGAAACAAGACAGGGCTACTACCTGTGGAAAATGATTGTAGATCAATTCCCGAAATAGGATGGGGCGACTATCTACATGAACTGAGAGAAGATTAACTCCTGAAACAGGACGGGGAAACTATCTTCCTTTTTATGGTCAGATAAAGATCAATTCCCGAAATAGGACGGGTAGATTATCTTTATCAACAAATGGTATGAACTCCCGAAACAGGACGATTTTACCAACAAAAAGCAAAGTAAAGCAAAGACTAACTCCCAAAACAGGACGGGGAAACTATCTTTCTTTCTTTACAACCGATCAAAGATTAACTCCTGAAACAGGACAGAGAAACTATCTTTCTCTCTTTATGGTCAAATAAAGATCAATTCCCGAAATAGGACGGGCCAACTATCTTTATCACCAATGGTATGAATTCCCGAAACAGGACGGGTTTACCAACAAAGAAGATTGTAGATCAATTCCCGAAACAGGACGGGGCGATTATCTACGTGATAAGCAGCTACTCAAACATCTTTCCTGTAGGTTCATTCTGGAAAACATTCTTCAGATACAGTCGAGCGTATACTCATTTTGATACTTCTATCGACGGTTATCCTGGATGGCATCTATAAGCTCATCTTTGATGACTCTCTGTCACCTCTCTAAATGGCATATTTAAGCCCATTCTCGGTTTATAAACCAACAATGCTACTTCATGCACATGCAAGTGCAAATTTCTGGGCACTTAAGTGTTCAATCATCTTCTATCTTCAAGTCACAAATGGCGGACATGCCAATCTAAATCTTCAGGTTTAAGAAGATTGAACAGGGGAAGCTGTTTTATCCCAAAATTTTCCCTCCCATTTTCATTCAAGATATTCTCCTAGGGTTCTCGAATGCTCAAGGTGGCTCAAGAATTGATCAGATAACTTCTCCTCATAAGCAATGGGTCCATAACTAGGGTTTGGTATTTCTCAAGCAATATTGGGTTTCCAAGGTCTCAAGTGGATTTCATGGTTCTTCATATGTATTTAAGAATGCTCATAGCAAATTTCATGTCTTGCATCACGAGTTCGCTCAGTCAATTGCTCGGATAACTGAAAATCAACTGTATTGACCAAAAAGTCAATATTCTCAAGATCAAGTTCAAACGATTATAAATTCTTCTTTATTCAATATTTTTAGTGGTTCTTTTTGTGTATTACTATCCTTGACGTCACTTCCAAATTTTCTTCACAAGTCAAGAGCTGGTTATGTGCGAAAGATCATCAAAAATTCGAATACTTTAGAGGTCGCTTTGTGGGCTTTAACCTAATTTCAAGTTTTTTGTTGCCTGACTTCCAAGGATCATAACTTCTACAATATTCAGCATTTTGGGATGATTCTTTTTTCATGTTGTCATAAGCAATGTCATCTACAAATTCTCTTCAAGGATTGATGGAAAATTGTGTTTAGAAGACCTTGAAAGTTATCGAACCATCATAGGTTATTTTCTTGATTTAGAATGTTCTTAACTTCTAATTTCAATTCATGTCATAAGCATTTTCCCAATACACTTGATTCTTACATTGAGATAATCCATTAGGCAACAAGTTGAGCTTGAAGATTCATTGATCGTTTGTTGCTCAAAATTCAAGTCATTTGTGTTTGAGCGTTAATGATTATTGGATAGGATTTTTTTATTAAAGTTCTTAAGGCATTTAATTTGTTCAAGAATTTGATTTAAGATTAAAGGTTGGAAGATGATACAAGTGAATTAATTAAGAGTCAAGATACAAAGCTCAAGTTCATTCATGTGATTTATGCAAGTTCAAATATTGATCCTTCAAAGTAAATAACCAAAGTATCATTCAATATGAGTTCAAAAATAATGTCATAATTTGTTTCAAGGCTATATCCAAGACTCATTCAAGTTTTTATACAAGATCTTTCAGATATTTATTATTCAAGTTCATGCTTCATTCATAAGATTTATTCCTTTTATTTAAAAGAACAAGTTTTATTCAAAATTCTCAAGATATATTCAAGTTGCAAAATCCATACAAGTGAAAAAGACATCGAAAGATACAAAGGGCATATCCTAATCTTTGAAATTTATCCACCTTGTAACAAATCGGTCCAAAAATAATAGCTCCAACTTCTTGTTGTCAACAAAAGCCCTGAAAAACCTGCTATTGTCCTGCTAAACAATACAGCTCACCATAAATTGCCCAAAACAGCCTGCTGCCCCCTACTATCCCTTTGGAAACCTGCACAAAGCCAATACAAATTCTTGTTGTCCAAAACCGAAATACTGTCCCGAACAGCCTGCTTCAAAACCTGCATGAACCAGTCCAAAAATTGCATAGAAAT